TTTTTAATAAAAATAGATATAATAATACTGTATTACTTTATATGAATGGATACTAAATAATACTGTAATAATCTCCACAAAATAAAGTGCCATTTGAATTTTTAATTTCAAGTTGTTGGTAATGGATGGCTAATCAGTAATCACCAAACGAAAGTTCTTGTCAAAGGTTTGAAGATTTGGAATTCCATTCCCTTCATTCATTGACCATAATTTTTAATTTAACTTCAAACATGTCTTCTTCATTAATCTACAAACACCAACATAATAAAAATAATAATACTAGTCACATATTCACATGTTCATGATAAGGCTATAATATATAATATATCTTCAGCAAAAAAAAAAAATTTGTGGGTTTGATTGAAGTTTACTTGATCTTTTTCTTGATTTTCTTGTCTGCCTTTTTCTACTAATATATATATACCACTCATCAACTAATCCCATCAGTCAACCAAGGCAGCATAGCACTATACAAAGGGAGAGAAGGAGAGAGTTGTTTTCAGTTTTCAGTTTTGATTGTAGTTGTGAAAGAGATAAATAATATGGAGTGCAGTACTCATAATGCTAAGTCATCATCAAATGGTGTAGAAGAAATGAACATAGTTGAAGATTATGATCAAGAAATCAGTCTGAGTGATGAACTTGAGCAGTATAAACTGGGTGTTTTGAGAACTTCTGTTGAGAAAAAGGATCCCACTTCAAAGGTATGTCATAGCTTCTTCTCTGCTTTCTTGTATTTATATTACAATTAATATACTGATTGAATTGTATTGTATTGTATGATTATTGGGAACAACCAGCAAAAAAAACCCTTATCCCCATTCTTCTTATATCCACTAAGATGCAATCACCTTAGCGAAATTGATCTCAATTACATGATAAACATTAACAAACTAAGAGGTATAACTGCTCTGTAGCTAAACCTTGCCTAAAATAATTAGATTGTTGACACCAAGTATAAATCTGCACTGCTTCTGCATCATCCCAACAAGTTGTGTCTGTTTATGAGGAGTTGTTTTCGCTATGTTACAATGCTGTTTGTCCTGGGTCACCTAAAAAATCAACAATCTGCCATTAATTTGAGCAGTCAACACAGTCAATAGACGTGTTGACATGTGATCATGTGAGTTCATTTATAGGTACTTCAATGAGGAAGAAGACTTATCGCACAAGTTCATCTAGTGCAAAAACAAACGTTGACATTTCGACTTCACGTGTAGAGTAGTTATGATTGTGCTTGAGGTAATCTCCTAAACCAGGTAATTTGATCACTTCCATAATAGTTCAAGAATTTCAGAAAAACATTACTTGGCTCCTATTCAAAAAAAAATTCGTTCTGAATGCTTACTGTCTTTAACAGTAGCAGTCGTAAAGGGAGGTGAAAGTCAGGGTTAGACTATTCAGAATTTGAAAAAAATAATATGTATACAGGTCAATGATAAGGAAAGAAAAAATAGATGAAGAATTTGTTCACCCTCCATTCAAAAGTCTTAAATTTAATATGCTACTCACAAGTCACAATTGAGTATATACCTCTGAGGTATGTGCTGTACTCCTTCCATTGACTTATTCTTGGGTCTTAAAAAAATTTATTTTGGCCTGCGCAGTTTCTTTCTGTACAATCATCGTCATATTAATTGGTAGCATTTCATCATTTAATGTGACTATTGTATTCGACAAGACAACAACATATCACCTATATTGACATTACACTTCCTGTATACTTCATTGAAATAGTATTAAGATCGTATTGAGCTTGGATTGATTTACAACATATTAACATAGAAACTCATCCCCGGTGTTGAACTGATAAAAAAAAAAAAAAAAGATGTCGTTGAATTGGTTTTAATTAATAAATTTTTTTCGAGTTGTTTGTATTTTTGACTTGTTTTATTATAGCTTTTCTGTCTCATATGCCTCGAGCCAATTTGCGGAGCAAAGGTGTCTGATAATATAATTATCACACGGAAGGTTGGCCATTTGAATAAGCAGTTATCCGTGCCTCTCAAATTTCTATCGTTTTGAGTAGGCTTCGAACATGTTGCCACATTCTCTTTACTTTTAGTGTTAAATGCTTAATCACCTGACCAATTCAATCACTATATATACTGCAATACCATATATCAAGGATGACGTAACTGCATCATGATCTAAATGCTTTCATTAGGAGAACTTGTGAATAGTTTTGGTTTGTAACTAAGTTTGGTTAAGAAAGTTCCCAAATTGTAGTCCATATAAGACAGAAAACAAATGGACCTAGTTATGCTATAAGGAGTTTCCATTTTCATAACCAATGTGCAGTTTGTTGTTAATTAGTGTTGTCTCTGATCATCACTCTTAGTTTTTATATTCACTGCGGTTCTATAATTTACTCGTTTGTGTAGGGAGTTGATGATATGATGCTGAGAAGATTTCTGCGTGCTCGTAATTTAGATATTGAGAAGTCATCTAGTCTATTTCTCAAGTACCTAAAATGGAGACGAGAATTTGTCCCTAGGGGGTTTATATCAGAGTCAGAGATCACAAAAGATCTAGCTGCAAAGAAATTTTTTTTGCAGGGACTGGATAAGGATGGGCGCCCCATTGGGGTTGTCCTTGTTGCCAAACATTTCCCAGGCAAAGGAAAAGTAGGTGTAGATGAGTTCAAACGTACGTTCTGACTCTCAGATATAGCTAATTATATTGCCCAGCCTCAGTATGCAATTAGTTTTTCTTCTTTCAAATTTGAAATAATAAAACAAAAGCAAAGTTACTTTTATACTGTTACCCAGAGCTCTGTCCCAACTCGACCGCAGCTCACTACCACCCTAACATACTTTATATGAAGACCTAGCCAATTAATGTGCTTACCTCAACTGTATCTTGATAATCCTGGCTCCATTTCTGCACACACACTTCAAAAAAATGTCTGAAGGGATAGGATCCACGCATATTATTACAGAATTGAGTTTAGTCTACATGACTACATGATTCCAATATGTTAACTATCTAAACATATAAGCCAACTTGATTTACCTAAATTATATACTGTGCTTGTCTTTACAGGATTTGTGGTTTACTTTCTTGACAAAGCATGTTCGAGGTAATTCTTTCTATTAGTATTCAGTATTGAATCACTATAATTAGGCGTTTTACCTTTAGTCATTATTTTCTTATAGATGAGAGTTGGTCCTTTCCTTAGTTTCCAACTTTGACTCACATCATTAAAACAAGAATACCTTAACTTTGGATTATATTTGAAGTTATCTGGATCCTGCAGGATGGAAGGGGGCCAAGAAAAGTTTCTCATCATCGCAGATCTTCAAGGATGGGGATACTCAAATTTTGACCTCCGCGGTTATGTAGGAGCTATATCTATCTTACAGGTTTGCTGCTACACCACAGAGCATCTCATCTGTTCTTTAGACTAAGATTCAGAACAATGCACTATAATGGCAAAGTAGAATATCTCTTGCTGAATAGAAGTGAATTACTGCTTGTTATACTGTGAGCCATTGGACCAATTGTTCCCAAGTTTGAAATTGTTTGAAATTTCTCTTGAGACACACTAGAATGTTCAATCACGTGCATGTTGCTCTTTGGACACAAGAACCATCTTTTTCACTTTAGATTACTCTTGCTGTCATTAAATATATGTTTAACGACCGTTTCCGCATTGTCTGATTACCTTTCACTTGCAGCAGTTTCGTACTTTCTTTGTGAAATCCCTTCCCCTGATCCCCAAAGCTTTTCTACCTCAAACTGTCCTTTGGAGTTGTGATTCATTTTTCCACTTACTATTGTGATACCCAAATATTTTTACAGACATGAACTCCCTACGTGATCACTGACATACTCCAAGACTCTACATCCATCAGGGAACTTGTCAACTTAATTAGAGTTAAAGTTTGGGAAGGAATACCTTGTCATGTTTGAAAGTAGGCACATATTTCTAAGTTCTTTGAAGGACACCGAAAAGATCATCAGGCAAACTCTCCATATGTTACAATTTACCATCTTTGAGTCTTCGCCCATCACCACTGGACCACTGTCAAGCCCCTCAAATTGTTTAACTATATAACCTATATGAGCACATATGTTTCTTGCTATCACTATCAGTTACATTAGGTTGTATAATATTTGTCGTTGTGTGTACCTGCTAAGAATTATTCGCTGTTTTATACATTGATATCATCTTCAAAAGATGATAAAAAAATCTCTGCAACTTTGGTCTTCTGTTTCAGTCTACACTTCCTCATTACATACTAAATTGTCTACCTGTCAAACAAGTTACCTGTGTTCATTTCCACAAGTAGTTCGACATATGAATATTTCCAGAGCCTCCTTTTTATTCCTTGCCATAAGCTATCCAAACTGATGGTATCATTCCCCTAATGACAGCGTCTAATGGCCTAGCTGGTCATCACCCAACGTAACGTTACTAATCTCAATTTCTTAATTCTTGACACAGGATTGTTACCCAGAAAGGCTTGGTAAATTGCTTCTAGTCCATGTCCCTTATATATTCATGGCGGCATGGAAGATGATTTACCCATTTATTGACAACAACACAAGGAAAAAGGTAAGTCGTCAGCCCTTCTCTGATTATTTACAGATTGCTGCTTTAAATCAGAAAACAAATGGGATTAACAGTTTGTGTAACGATTTTGAGTACCTAAATTAGACCTACAATCTTTTCTGATGAAGTTATCTTCCTTTGTGTGTACTCTATGTAGATAGTAATGATTTTCACATTTCCTTCCATATGCATGTATGTTCTGTTTTCGCAATTATAAAATTCCTTAAAGCTGAAAAAACAAAATGCGTGATAACTGTTAGGATTATTCTGGCAATATGAAATCAGGTCATGATATATGATTTTGTTGCAGATTGCATTTGTGGATAACAAAAAGTTATCATCAACACTGCTTCAATACATTGATGATAGTCAGATCCCAGAGACCTACGGAGGAAAACTACCACTAGTGCCGATCTAAGACAGCTAAGTTTAGCGTAGTATCCATGAAAAAACTCCATGCCATCTCATTCTTCCATTCAAATCTTCTGTCGAAGTAAAATAAATTTACAGCAGAGTTTAATATCCTTCTAAGCAGTTTTCCATTCATAGTTCACGACACCCTTATTGTACTGTATTCAATGTAAGATTGTAATTTGTGACACAAAAAGATCATGTAAGGAATAAGGGTGTACATCTAATTCATATTTTATCTTCATTTTAATAAAATAAAATCATTTGGAAGCGATTCTAATTCTAATTGTGCCTTATACACTTTTGTGACTTACAAGCCATTTTTGTTTTATTTTGGAACCAGAGTCTTTACAATTATTCTGCATGGTTTAGTAACTTAAAAACTGTTGTGATAGTGAGTAGTTAATGAATTTAACTGAATTTTGAACATATAAGCATCTAAATCTTTAGCCCTAAAAAAACATTTCAACTACTTACCAATTGAAGAAACCATAAGAGAGACTTTCAATGTGTTTCGGCATGCCTTACTGTCCATAGGGTGACAACTGACAAGTTGTATACCAATCCTATCAAATAGACAAATTGGGTTTTCAAACTCAAGCACTTGACCTGCTGTGCTGCTCTGAACAAGTATCTCATGAAAATGTACCTAAACTCGCTGTGACAGAAGTTGCCTACATAGCTGGAAGGAAACATAGGGTAAATCTGCACAACATATAGTATGAGTGTAACATCCTGGGATTTCATCATCACTCATCCCCGGGTGCCGAGCACCATGACTTGCTAATGTCAATATAGTTAGTGTATAGTTAAGCTTCCTTGGCAATGTGGGACTAACCCCAACTCTCGGGCGTTACAATAAGACAAATATGTTGGCTCTTCCCCTTAAATTGAGCCAATGGTGTGGGCCTCTGTATATAAATGGTTCAGTTGGAAGTTGACATTAACATTGGATCCCAATGCAACTTTCTAGGTGTACGTGTAGATATTTTATAATCAGATTTGATAGTTAACCAACACAAAACCTAGTTTATGATTTACACAATAACAAACTGTTAGTAATTCCTGAAACATTTTTTCAGATACTACATAGATCATAGGTGGAAATATCGGTTATATTCATGCATATTTGATGAATATACCCGTTTTTTTAGAAATCAGATATCGGAATATTTGTAAGTATTTGATGAAATTTGATATATAATTTATTTCCTAGTGTCGAATTTTTTTGGTTATATCCATTTTTTAAAAATCTGGATATCTGTATAAATTCAACATTTCTTATTAGATTTGGACAAAATAAAAGTCTAAGCAAATTGATAGTTGAACAATTTTTTATTTGTCACCAAGTGCAACACATGTTTACTGTATTGACAAGAGAAATCCCAATCTGGTAGAAAGTTGGTTGAAAGAAATGAATAAAAAACAAAGTAATGCATTCAGCATTTAACAAGGTACATGTCCTTTGAACTACCTAGCTTTTTTAAGTCTATTTTAGCCAGCTACCTTATGCTTTGAGTTTTCAATCTCTTCTTCATTCTATTTTCAAGGAATGGAGATTGAGCTATGAACCTATTGACTACTTGAATACATTTTTACATAGTTTTGTGATAAAAGATGGAAAGTTCTCATAAACATAATGGTGAAGAAGGAAACAGGATGATGAAGAACAGCATTGAGAAAGAACAACATGAGTTGGGTCTTATGAGAACCTTTGTGGAAAGCCAAGATCCCACTTCAAAGGTCATCTTCTCTTAATTCCTACTATTGATAATAGTTATTTGTTAAATGAAATTTGGAGCACCATTATAAAAAATGTGTTTCAAAACTAGATGATTAGTACATGCATCTTTAGCAAAAGTATTAATAACTTGGTTGTATATATATGTGCATTGATCTGTGCAGGAAGTAGATGATAAGACACTAAGAAGGTTTCTGCGTGCTCGTGATCTAAATGTTGACAAGGCCTCTGCCATGTTCCTCAAGTACCTAAAGTGGAAGAGAACATTTATTCCTAATGGTTTCATTTCTGAATCAGAAATCTCAAATGAACTAGCCCAAAAGAAAATGTTTCTGCAAGGA